CGCTACCGCTTGAGCCACATCCCCAGCCCATACATTTTCTTTATCCATTCATCTGTTGAAGGGCACCTAGCCTGGTTCCCTAGTTCAGCTATTGTGAATTGAGCTGCTGTAAATATTGATGTGGCAGCATCACTATAATATGTTGATTTCAAGTCTATTGGGCATGTACCAAAGAGGGAGATAACTGGGTCAAATGGTGGTTCCATTCCATGTTTTCTTAGGAATCCCCATACTGCTTTCCAGAGTAGTTGCACCAATTTGCAGCCCCACCAGCAATATATAAGTGTTCCTTTTCTCTACATCCTCACCAACATTTATTGTTACTTGTATTCTTGATAATTGCCATTCAGTCTGGAGTGAGGTGGAATCTCAGTGTAGTTTTTTTTTTTTTTAGTTATAGATGGACATAATATCTTTATTTTATTTGTTTATTTTTATGTGGTGCCAGGGATCAAACCCAGTGTCTCACACATGCTAGGCAAGCACTCTACCACCAAGTCACAACCCTGGCCCCTCAGTGTAGTTTTAATTTGCATTTGGCCTTTGCTCTGAGGTGGGGAGTCCTTAGAGTAAATCCAGACCAGGAATGAATAACTTATACTTTTCAATAAAAGGAAAACAACTGCTAATCAATTATATTTGGGTTTAGGATTGCACAAAACCAGTTCTTTAGTGTAATGCTTAGAAATTGCTTTGTTAATTGTTTTTAATCCAACAAAACCGAAGTTGACTATGTATAAAAATCTGCATTAGGCACTTTGGAAATGCAAAGTTAAGTAAATTACAGTGGGGTTTGGGGATTGTTGTTTGTTTTCAGAATTAAGCTATTGGGAGATTGTCTAGACCTCTGTATAGTTCATTAAAATGTGGGCCATACAGGTGTTCCAAGAGTAAGGATTATTTTGTGTTCCCCAATTTAACAAACTCCTAAGTCGCCCCAAGCCCAGTACTGATGCTGGGAGGACTAGCAGGCCTCCATCCCTTCCTGCCTGCAGCCCTGCATGCTCAGTCTGGGGAGTGTAGGCTAGTGAGGAACCCACACTGAACAGGTGGGTGTTCGCCCTGCCTGCTGTGCACTCACCTTGGCTTCCTTCCCATCCCCTCACAGCTCACTAGCTCTGCATCCAGTCTTGTCACACTGCCTACGCTAAGTGTCTCCTGCCTGGGTTTTCCTTATTCCAGCTTTTGCTACACTTTCCTACATATCTGTTGATACTGCTGCCAATTACCAGTTTTGTAGAGAGTGTGTGTGTGTGTGTGTGTGTGTGTGTGTGTGTGTGTGTGTGTGTGTTCGCGCACGCGCGCACTCGTATTAGGATTGAAAGGATGCTGGATGATTTTTATAACATGGTCTCCATCAGAGATGAGAAAATGTACAAGAGGCCAAGATGGTCCTGTGTTTCCTAAAAATACTAGTGAGGACATTTCTTTGTAGACATGAAAATTAGTTCTTGCATTTTCTTACTAATGAAATGATTCTTTTTTTATTTTTATTTGTTTATTTTTTGTACTGGGGATTGAACCCAGGGATGCCTAACAACTGAGCCACATCCTCAGTCATTTTTTATATTTTATTTAGATACAAAGTATCGCTGAGTGGCTAAGTGTCTCACTAATTTGCTGAGGCTGGCTTTGAACTCTTGATCCTCTTGCCTCAATCTCCTAAATTGCTGGGATTACAGGCATGTGCCACTGTACCCAGCAGTAACGAAATAATAATTCTTTATACTGATGCCATTCCTTAAAAAAAAAAAAAAAGTAAATAGTGATAGAGCAGTTAAGCCAGCTGTTTAATGAAAAATGGTTACAGAGGTGTGCCCAAACCACACTGTTCCTCTTACCCACCCAGCTGTAGTAGGAGTGTGAGTTTGCCATCCTGGAATGAGTCCTTCAAGGTTGGGACTGCTTTTTGCTCAGAGATAGAGATGTAGCCCCTGTACTGGGCATCCTGCCTTGGCATAGTCAGTGCCCAACTAAGTCACCAAAACACTGACACTGACATGGTTGGGGCGTTGGAGGGGAGAAGAAAGCTATTAATTCCAGGAAAAGTCTGAGAAATTTTCTAAGACTTGAACAGTGCCATACAAGGTGAGTTTCCTAAGCAGCAAAGTGGAAAGGAGTGTTCAGGTTCAAAGAATAACCTGTGTCAGTATATAGTGAAAGGAGCATGAGGTGTCCAGGGGGAGCCGTGTGCCTGTGTGCATGGGAGGGAGGGAGGGAGCATACTTTGCATGTGACTGGCCTGATGCGTGGAAGAGCAAGGGGGACAGCTGTGGGAAACTACAGTGATAAGAAAGGATTGCAGATTGAGCTGGGGCTGTGCTCAGTGGTAGAGGGCTTGCCTAGCATGTGCCAGGCCTGGGTTCAATCCCCCAGGCAGAGGCGGGGGAGATAGGTGCAGGTCTTTGCTGTTTCATGGTAGTTAATCTTTGGATGCTGGGAGCCTGTGGAAGGAAGGATCTTAAGCATTGGAGTAATGTGATTGGATACCTGTTTTCTAGCACAGGGCCTGGAACCAAGCAGGGAAAACCTCTTGTTCTAGGAGAGTACTGTTAGCAGTATTGAGAGATGGGTTAGAGAGAAGCAAAAGGAGAGGGACACATGTGACTTCTGAATATGTCAAGTTGACAGTATCGAGTTGAGTTTTAGAGCCAGGGTAGAGGGCAGGCAGGCAGCATGAGTGCTTGCTCATTTTCTTAGTTGAAGCCGTAGAAGGAGTTGCTTGTTCAGGGAGAGACTAGAATAAGGAAAGACTCTCATGAGAGGTGGCAGAGTGGTGTGAGAAGTCATCCCTGGGATCAGTAAGAAACATCCCTAAGATGCAAAGAGGAGGGAGTATGAGGAAGGGAGGGTGGCAGTAAGTAGCACTTGGGGCTGTGGTGACAGATCACTGGTCAAAGGCTAAGATGAAGCTTTTGGGTCTGACCAGGAGGATTTCTAAAGTCCATTGCCTTTGGTTTATGTAGTCTCTTTCATTTGATTTTTAAGTCATTCATGGGAAGAAAACAGCATCCACTTTAAATTTCTCACATGCTTCACATTTAATCAACAGATGCTGATCCACTTCCTCAAGGGGGTTTGGGAAGTGTCAATGGGATAGGACAATTAAGTTTTCATAAAGTGTTGTTTATACTGCAAATTATTTCATATATGGTCTGTGTTTGAAAACCAACTTGTGCATTTAAGACCTTGCTTTTAGACTGAGATCAGTTATAAGCAGTGTTACTTCAAATATCCATCTGCCATTGGTATTTTAAATTCAACTTTATACTATAGTGATTTTTCTCTGTTTGTTTGCATAGCTTGGCACCTGTGTTTGCTCTGTTTGTACCATTTTACTGCTCCATACCAAGAGTCCAAGTGGCACAAATTCTGGGCCCGTTGTCCATCACAAACAAGACATTGATTTATATATTGGGACTACAGGTACAGTATGCATTTTATGTTCACATTTCTTTAACCAAATCTTTTTTTTTTTTTGTCTTTTTTTTTCTCATTTGATCTCCTTGAAAACAATGGTTGTGTGTTTTTTTTCCCCATAAGTTTGGCTTCATGATCTGTATCAAATGTTCAAAGGAAGTGTTACAGAACAAGAACATCAAGGTGTAGAAGGTACTAGAATACTTTCATAGCCTTTAGAAATCTGATAAGAGCTTTCACTGTAATTTGTATCAGTGGAAAATATTTTCATTTAATTGTTACAATTATGTGTAAATGCTCTTTTAAAAAATCATAGTTTGAAGTGGAAATACATGAGAACAGTGGAAAGTGGAAAAATCAATGTCAAAATTAGTTTATTGAATACAGCGTCACAAAGAAAGCTCTGAAGAAGAAACCCAAAATGCTTTACCAACCTGAGATTTGATGTTTTCAAGAAGCATTAGCAATGTTATTACTTCGGTGTTTGTGCTCCTACGATGATATTGTCATCATTTGCTAAATGGTTTTCTTTGAAGATCATTGGAGTACTTACTGTCTGACTTAGAAACCTGAGCTTAAATGAGTCCTTACTAATACTCAGTGAATACCAATTGCTCCCTGCTGGGTTCCAGTCACTACACTGGGACACATAGGATTTTCAGTGTTCTGTTATTTGTCATTATTTTTACTCCCATGACTTTTGATGTCAAGCTTTTTCCTGCAGCTTCCTGTGGCACCATGTGTAGCTTGGCCTTTTGATCCGCTAGTAAACACTCAGGCATTCCTTATCCCACACATATCAAACCGGATACTAGTGTCACTGTAAAATGCCCTTCTCCCTCCCGTTTTAACCTTTAGCATTTCCTCCAGCTCCTCTAGTCTGTTATCATGCATTATCAATGGCCCGTCAGGGGCGGGTGTTTCCTTACAACTTTTACAACCGTTTCTCATGAAATATGTTATTCTTCATCTCTCAGCCCCCACAAACTCCCCCTTAGCCTTCCTAATATGTATGTAACCAAATAGCTCGTTTTTGCAGTTTATTCTTAACAGCTAGGATTTGCTGTAGCAGGTTTTATTTTTATTTTTTTTTTCCCTTGAATTATTGTGACAGAGGCAGTATGAAATGGCAGAAAAACACCAAGGACCTGGCCCCTGGTTCTGGTATGTCCCTCACTGGCTCTGAGACTTGGGTCAAGTCATGACCCCCTGATCTTCATTTTGACCTAAGTTCCTTCCAACTCTAAAGCTAGAATCATTGAGGATGAAAAACATTATTTCCTCAATTATAGGGTAGAAATTCCATGTGGCATTATGGAAGGTCTTTGGGGATGAGTGAACTTTGGCTAAGTGATGGGGTCTGTTGACTATTTGCTTTGTCACTTATTTTTACTGAGCCCCCATTTGCCCACCTGCAAAATGGAGATAATAATGCCTATATTACAAGATTATTTTAAGGATTAGATATCATAGCATTAGTGTTACTGTGTATCTGAAAAGATAAAAATAGCTAAGTCAGTGGTTCTTATTATTAATTAGTAATTTATCTCCATAGCTAACCCCATTCATTGCTTTTTCTGACATTATAAATGTATTGTTATACTGTTTTGTTTTACAAAAAGCAAAATAAGTAAAATATTTCTCAGAGAGAGGGGCTCTGGTTGCATAATCTCCATCACAAGAGCCTCTGTGTTTAGTGCTATTTCAGCAGTTACATGGCCTGCAGTGAAAGTAACTGCTTAAAAATGACACGGTGAATCCCACCATCACATACTTATTTACTGGAATAAGATATACATGCTTGTATAATTATATTTAAAATGGATTCTACTGTCATGTTTAACTAAAAAGAACCAATAAATAAAAATCAGAAAGTAACCTCTTAACCCTGCTCAAAAGCAAAATATAGATGCAGCTACCATAGTTTATTCAAAGTAGTATAAATTTCTAATATTGTCATAGTATTTTCAATAACTTTGTGAGGTAGAAGTGGATATCAGAAGGAGTGGAGGTGCCTCACTGCTTCTTTTTACGATCTAGTCTTTGGCATGGATGGCATCCAGGGTTCTTCTTGCATCTCTAGCAGCAGTTGCTCATCTTGCATCAAGGGTGGCTGAAGTCTCCATCCTCTTCTTGCCCCACTCCTCTCTGGGCCTCTGCATGTTTTTGTGACATTCACACTCCCCACCACAGCTACATGAAGCCAGGGACATTTCTTTAATGGATGAATGAATGGTTGTAATCTTTACCAGAAGAGCCAAAATGCTTATGAAGGGACATTATGTATCAGATGGCTTGAGAGCCAGCCCTGTGGTGCCTACCCTGTGCTGGGAGCTGTGGAGGATGGGGTGAAATACAAGATGAGATACTTGTCCTCCAGGAACCCAGAGGCTAGGAAAACTCACTCCCGAACCTGTCAAAACCCAAGCAACACAGTTTGGCACCAAACACACAGTAGGAAGGGGAGCTTGAGAGGATCCAAAGGAAACCAGCTTTGACTGGCAGGATGTTGGACTCGTTCTACTTATATCTGAGCAGGTTGGCGAGCACAGGGCTGTGGAGCTTGCCTATCTGCATACACCCAACTCCACCATTGATAGCTGTCTGACAGGGCTACAAGTCACACAGATACTCAATTTTCTCACCAGTAGAATCAAGTTCATAGAGCTTCCTCATCAAGTGATACGGAAGATTCACTGAGTTCAGTTTGTGGGAAACCTTGTGAGAAATGCCCAACTTGTAGAAAGTGATAGTTGACTTATTATCCTTTTTCTTTTTAGAGGCGAATGATAGCAAAATATTTGTCTGCATAATTCTTGACCTTGTTATTATCAAAGTTTTTACATGGAGGAGCCTCCATGCCAGATCAGAGATTAAATTAGAAGTGGCAGCTGATATTCCTTCCTGGGTGGCCTGCACCAGAACACAGCCCACCAGCCTGCAGCCCACCAGCCTCCTCTCCCTGTCTCTCGGCCTCTTACCCTTCGTGTCTGCTCTGAGTGTCCTCATGGAGTGTGTGGAACTCCAAAGTTCACATCTAACAGTTGGCAGTGAATACAGCTGCCCTGCTCCAGTGCCCTGCTTCTTCCTCAAAGATCAGAAGTCTTAACCCTAGCCCAAGCTTCTAAAGTACACACTAGACCACAAACCATTTCTTTCTTCCAGGGATGCTTTGAGATGCTTTGATTTGTTTGGTGTTTTTTTGTTTTTGTTTATTTTACCCTGAGCACAACTCTAAAATATAATTTAGAAAGCAAAGGTAGAGATTTCTTGAGACTTAATAATAAATACTTTTGTCATTAATTAACATTGTTATTATAAGTTTATTCTTCCTTAGATGAACTAGAATAGGAACAATACCATTTGGTACAGACCTCTAAGCTGTCAGAATTCTTCCCGTCTAAATTTAGAGAAACAATAATAAAAAGTTACAATGAGAAAGTTAGGTTAACAGTTGTCATAAGTCACTAGCAATAAGCATGGATGATGACTACCTATGTTTACATTGTTGATTCTAATAATATAATTAATATCCATTTGTAAATGGTAATATACTTGAATTTCACTTGTATTTCTTTGCATGGGAGTGGGCCAGGTTCAAGTAATATATTCTCAGCATTGAAGTCTAAGGTCTTAAAAAAATAACCTTATTATTAAACAAAATTTATGTTTATTTTCTATTTGCCTATATATTTGATAGCAAGTATAATTAGTATTATAAATGGTCATGATTATGTAAAAATAAATATGCTGTTACTGGCAGTTGAATTTCATTTTTAGTTGCCTTTTTTTTCTTTTGTAGCTTTTCACCTCTGGTTCCTACATCTGGATTGTAGCCATAAGTGGACTTGTAAGTTTGATTTCCCCCTCCCTGCAATTCCCCCTGTCTTCTGGGAAAACAACAACAACAAAAAAAAAACACGAGGAAAAGCGTGATGCTGAACTTGTGGGCAACACTCACTTGTTCCTGACATTCTCTCAGCCCTGTCAGATCTGGCTCAGTGCTACTTCATTAGTGACTAAAAAGGGCCAGTTACTTGGAAAATTGAGACAAAGGGAGCCAGTTGGTCTGAGTTTTCAAAGTAACTTGATGTTTTAGCTAAATTGTTTTCATCAGTGTTGGTTTTATATCACATTCATAGTTTAATTCATGGTAAAAAAAATGACAGAAAATGAAGATGTTGGACCTACTAAAAATAAGGAGAGCTGTTGTGTTTGTTTTATAAAGAGACTGTTACGTGAGGGAAGAAAATAAGACCAACCAGCAAGTCAGGTGGGTTGGAACTGACAGAAGACTCATCAGGTCTGTGGCCAGAGAAGGGGAGGAAGGGAGTGAGCTGGAGGATTTGGGTCCTCCTCCTGTGGCTGGAATTTCCATTTCTGTCCCATACCCGTGGGACTTGGTTATATTTTATTTAGAGGGTATTTTAAAAGAAATTTAGACCTTGAAGTTGAGTTTTATTCTTCCATCACTTGAATATGAACCCTTAAATTTATGAAAATAATTTTATAACTAGTGCATATGGAGTATAGTTTTAATTTCTTTCTTAGAAAAAACTAAGAAAAATATAGAATAGATTCATATGAACATGTGTAACATCAGAGAAAAAAGGCTTCAAAATAACTGCAGCCCTCTGCAGACCCTTTACATAAATCACTACTTTTGGTCCTTGTTTCCCGAGTGACTGACCTGTGTTTGGGGCCAGTGTACTAACCATCCTTTCAGCCTGCTCACCTCACTCCTCACTTTCAGCTCTGTTGTTCCTCCTCTCGGTTCATTATTTTCATCTAGAACTTGATTGTTCATGCCACTCAGCTGATGTGCTTCTGCCAATCAAAGTCACTGGTTTTCCTCTCCCTAAATATTTTCTCATTTACCAAGGACCCCATTGAGAAGTCTTTAAACCATACAAGCAATCTGGCATTCATTTTTTCCCCCCAGTAGTAGGGATTGAATCCAGGGGTGCTCTACCACTGAGTTACATCCCCAGCCCTTTACTCATTTATTTATTTATTTATTTATTCATTCATTCATTCATTCATTCATTCATTCATTCATTCATTTATTTTCATTTTGAAGTAGAGCCTGGCTAGTTCCCCATCTGGTCTTGAACTTGTGATCTGCCTATTTCAGCCTGCTAAGTAGCTGGGATTATAAGCGTGTGCCACCCTTCCTGGCCCATCTGTTGTTCTTAAGAGTTGTGGCTTTGGAACATCCTGGGATTAGACTGATTCTTAGGGCACAGTTGCCAGGCTCTCTCCGGTCTAAGTTCATCACCACTTGAACTGCCATCTTGATTGACAGTAATAAGAGCTGCATGAAGATGTACAGTTTCTTCCATACTACAATTTGTCTTAGTCTTTTATGGTTTTTTTCATAAAGCATTAAAAGAATTTCAAACTACTTTATTGTATGCTGTTTCATTGTATTCATTTATTATAGATTCATTTACCCTGAATATCCATTCCTTTCTTTAATAACTCATTATGTGACTCATTTGTTTTAAAACACCCCATTTTCTTTCCTCATTCTGTTTTTAGACAGCTGATTTTAAATTAAGTGCTTGCTGTCACCTCAGAAAGTTTCGTTTTGTGACATTGGATGCTCTAGAATTGGAGGTTGCACTTTTCATCTCTTTGTAGTCTTTTTAGAATGTAAAATATGCATGTTGTGGTCACAGTCTTTCCAGCAGACCTCTTGACAGGTAGTAAGATGCCTGTTTTAACTTTTTAAAAGGAATCAGAAGATTAATGAATTTTTAACACAGAATGCCCATTGCACTATGTTTGGAATTCCAGGATGATTTGGCATTTTAGAGAATCTCACTAATAATAAATTCCTCTGAGCTAATTTAATTTTCACTTCTTATAGTAATTGACTCAGCCAAAGTTATTAACCTCCTACTATGATCACAAATCCATTAAGTTTTCTTATTATCCTTGTTCTTATTACCCTTTATTACTATTCCACCATAATTAGATGATTCTAGCCACATTTATTTGAAATGATTGATAATAATGATAATCATAGCTGGTTTCCCTTCATCTGTACCATAAATATTGGTGCTTGTTTTACACTTTATGAATTTTTATTGTGACTTATCTAGAAAATCCACATTTTTGTTAGGAAATATTTTATATAACACAGTATGCTGTTTATAAAGATGATTATAAAGGAGGATCTGAAAATTGTCATGAGTGTCTGGTTCGCACAGCACTGACTGCATAGTCTCTGTGTGCCATAACAAAGCCACAGTGTGCCTGTTCCAGATGCTGATTGCTCAACACAACACAAGTTCTCTTCCCATGTAGATCAACTGACTTCCTTTTTTTTTTTTTTTTGGTTTTTATGATAAATAAGATACTAAAAAAAAAAAAAGAAATTCATACTACCAAAAAAATATACATATTTGGGGAATTGTTACAAAACCTGTTGATGAAATTTCACCTTTTAGCATTGAAACTCATAGTTTTTTAAGAGAAAGAGCTTTTTAAAAAAGAAAGATGTGTGTAAAACAAGTCATCTGTAATCTTCTGTCATAGAAACCAAAAAATGTACTCATGTTTTCCTGGAAAGTTGCCAACTTTGAATTGCATTTATTTTATTTAGCTAGTTATCAGTTTATTTCTTTGGGCTAGCCTAGTTTTTATCTTTCCTTATATCATTTATTCTTTCATGATTATAGATGTCTCTGTGTGTACACACATGTGTCATTTAACATCTCAGTGGTTAGATAAAATACAGACGGTGTAGGAGTGTGAGTAGGAGCCTCTTTCTGTCCTCACTGATGTCACAGAAAAGTGTGAAGCCTAAGTTATTTTCCTGGGTTGGAGGAAAATCGTTTTTTAGCTCTCAAGGAGCAGTAAGACTGCAGTTTGCCTGGGATGGTTGTCACTCTTCGGTTCCATTTTGTAATTCCTTGGGGAGGCCACCTGCTACTCCGAAAAGGTGAGGAGTAGTCCGTTGTGTTTCATGAGTACTTTGAGGTTATTCACATGCATCATTGTTTTTGTGTGCCTTGTCCCTCCTTTGACAGTTCTTATTTTTTTTTTATAAATTTTTTATACCTTTATTGTATTTATTGATTTTTATGTGATGCTGAGGATCAAACCCAGGGCCTTGCACGTGCTAGGCGAGCGCTCTACCACTGAGCCACAACCCCAGCCCCAACAGTTTTTATTTTTAATACTAATATTTAAATTAACAGTTTTCATGAAAGATTACAAATTTTTTTTGGAAGGCTTGGTTGTAATAGTCCAGTGAAATATCACAGTCTATGCCAGGGCTTCAGGTATTTTAGGAAACCTCCTGCTTCCATCGTTTCACCACCATTGCATTCAGTTGTTCTTCTGAATGTCTTTGGTGGAAGACTTTCAAAAACTGAAGCCACTCTATATATTCATAATTCTACTAGTTTTGTTACACATTTATCCTTTTTTTTTTCCTTAAAGAAAGCTTTGCTTACTTATTAAACTTTGAATTCTTTTTGTGGTTCTACTGGAGAGCCTTGAAGACATCAATGGCCCAGCACTTCTTCATTTTCCGAGGTTTTATGAATCATAGTAGTGAGTCATTACCACTGGGATGTGCCCTGATTCTCAAAAGCTGAGGTCTTGCACCTGATCTGATTCTTATGTGATTCAAATAGAAAGGGGCTGCTTTTGCAATTTTTCTCTTTTTTTACAATTCACATATTTATCATCGTTTGGTCCTCTTCCAAGCTGCTTAAGAGCAAGTTACCAGACAGACCAATACAGGATTCTGGGTCTCAGTGTGTCCCTACTTTGTACCCACAGTCATTGCTGCCTGTGTTGTGCTTCTGTCCAGTACCCCAGACTTTGACTATCTTGTGATCAAGCAGTGTTCATGTGAAAAAAAAAAAAAAAAAACTTCTACACAATAATAAGATTAGAAATGTAGATTGACGTAGATTATTTAGAACTATGAATGTGGTTTGAGTTTGATTGTTTTCTGTAGGCAGTGAGCATCTTGAAAGTGTTTTAGACACACTTGAGGTGATGCGAGATTGCAGCAACCTCACCGGGTTGTGAATAGGGGAAGGGAAGAGGAGTAGTCTGGAAGGAGTCAAGAGGGCTTTTTGAGCTGATTTGCCTCTGTCTCAATTGAAAGATAAAAAATAAAAACACTTTAACTGAAAAAAAATAAAAATGGAAATAGCAGCATGTAGCATGGTAATGTTAGCTTCCTTTGGAATAAGTTTGGGGCCCGGGCTGCTTCTCGGTGGTGAGAATGGCATTTGGGTCCTCTGCCTTCTCCTGCCTGTGTATGTCTTTCTCTTTATACTTCCTTTTCTTCCTGTTTATCCTCATTTCTCTTAGATTTCTTCTCCAGATCCAACTAAGCTAGGGTTTGGGGTAAGTCATCTGCTGCTCAAGGCCTTCGGTTAAATAGAAGGGTTTAGGTTGCTGTTTGGCAGTTAACTGGAAATGAAGATGGGCTGTGGAAGCAGTCAGGAGGTTGCTGGGTTTACGAAGCGCCGTCTGCAGAGTGGACAGTGACAGCGGCCCCTTAGGAAGCCTCCACCCTTCCGTGGCTGAAGTAGCGGTTGGGATCCCAGCCAAGTCGAGTGCTGGTGGGTCCCTGATCCCTCACACACAGGCTCACACTGGTTTCAGGCAACTCACTCTTGCTCTCTCCCTCCTCCTCCATCCTCACCTCAGGCTGTCTGGACCACCAGAAGAAAGCCCCCATACTCTGCTTTGGCAGCCACAGCCCAGTCCAGGGCTGGCAGGTGATGTCCCACTAGACAGGCCTTACACAGGGAGGCAGAAACTAGTGGAAATGTAGTTTTAAAATGCTCTAAGCAGGATAAATGAAATGCCAGTATC